CCCCGGGCCCGGCTGGGCCCGCTGCTGCCGCAGCTGCCGCACTGCCTTTGGGACACTTCCCCAATCTAGCAACACTTCCGGTCAAAGGATTTCCTGGTACTTGGCCCCGAACTTCCCTCCTTAACTAGGCTCCCATTTCTTCTCAGCGCCCCTTCTGTGCTGTAGTGTCCCCGCGTTTCTGCACCAGGCGAGAGCACGTGGCTCTGCAGTGCGGGCGCCCCGCCCTCGCTGGGCCTCTAGGGTCAAACCGCAAAGCATCTGCGGTTGGGGGTGGGGCTGAAAACAAAGAAAGGCTCAAAAGCATTTGGATCAATGACATCCCTGACCTTCTGGGAGACTGAACCCCCAGAAGGTGACGCCACCCGCGGAGGAATACCGCAGGCAGCCCGCACCCCCTGCTCTGTGCAAGCACGTGACAAATCACAACAGTTGTGTCCGGTGTGTATTAATTCACCCTTTCACCGTTAACGTGTCACGGCCCAGGAGACTGAGGCTGGAAAGGCCGCAGTGTGGCTCCTCAGTGTCCCTCCCCTGACAGGCGGGCGGGCGTCTCACTGCCCCCGCCCTGCACCTCGGGTGGCCTCAGTGACTCGCTTCTCATGAATACAGTGCATAGTGGAAAGGACACCGAGTGACATCCCACACTCAGTTAGGAAAAGTGCCCATCTTCCACCAGGTTCTCTCGGGCCCCAGACAGAGTCGCCACTGGCGAACTGGAGGAGACTTCTGTGACCGCAGCCCACCCATGAGGCCACCAGCTGATACCCGTGGAGCAGAGAGGAGCCATCCTGGTGGAGCCCTGTCCCAACTGCAGGTCTGCGTGCAGAATACATGCACGCTCAAGCCACTGAGCTTAGAGATGGCTGTATCACAGCAACACATAGCAAGGTCAGTCTGGGATCAGTCAGGAGCCTCCAGGCTGCTGTGGTCTGTAGGGCCAGCACCAGGTGGGACAGAGCGAGGGGGTCACCACAGGTTGAGGTAGGACAGATGGACACTTGCGTGGTGTCTCTCTCAGTTTGAGTGAGCCCTGCATGTCTGTGCACGTGTGCAATAGGTGTCTCCTACACTCCTCTGGAGTAAAAGTACAGAATTCTGACAAAAAAGTCAGCAAAATAATTTCTTTTTAAAATGTTAGGTTTACCCATGTCATCTAACAATAGGGTTTAGATTATAAATCTTTTATATTTGGGGGAAATGAACATGGGGAGGTTAAAATAACCATACTAGCAAACTCATATGCACTATTCATATGAATGTCTCTCTGCATATGTATAAAATGTCTCTTTTTTAAAGTCACAATACAGGAGCGCACTTCAGAAAGTTCATAAGAAGATTCCTATTATCTCTCAATTCTATTTTCCAGCAAACTTTCTGAAGTACCCTTGTATATGCTCCCTTAACTTTTTCTTTCCTGAAAGTTCAAACTTCACATTCCCCATCACTGTGATGCTGCTGTCGAGAGGTGACATGTATAGCAGCCAGTCCTGCTGTTGTCACACCTGTAGCGTGACCACGTTCAAGTGAAAGCGTAGCAAGTAGCCCTCGTGTACCTAACCAGACACAGCAGTTTGTTCCGGGGATGGAGCCACACTTCTCGTGCTCAGCCCTCGTTTGACTCTGGCCATGGGTGAATGTGCGTCTCACCCAGGAGCTGACAGCACCCTACACTCAGGCCCCTCTGAGGCCCATCCCCATCAGCTCCTTTCCATGTAAAGACCCGATCATCTGCTGTGAGCAAAGCCGGGGGTAGGGAAGGGAGCTTCCTGAAATGTGGACCTCCAGGCTTGGAACTTACCCTCATTCCGCTGGCGTCAGCCCCTCACCCAACGCACACAGGTGCCTGCACAGAGCACACTCAGCCACATTCGCACACGCGTGTGCTCACACATGCCAGCGTGCCCTCGAGCTTTCTATGAGCAGGGTCTCACCTATGCAGTATTCTGGTTGAGAAGTTAAATGTGCATGAGGAACAAGCTGCCTTGGCCAAAAGGGAGCTGAGAGAAGGACGGAGGATTTCTGCCAGGGCTTCCTGTTCTCCAGGTCCCTAAAGAGGGGTGGGGATCCACAGGGGGTGTTGAGCACTGTCCCTCGCTAGAGGCTTCCTGGAGGAAGCACAGGCTGCCCTCCTAGGGAGCCCACAGAGGCCCAGCACATGAGCTGTTGCAGCCCGTGTTGTTGGTTTCAGTTTGTTGAGGTCGTAGGTTTGGTTCATTTTTTTATACATTCTCAAGCAGGAGTCTCTAATGCTTTCCCCCAACATTGTCCCTAGAGGTAGGTTCCCTGATGGCCCAGATCTGCCATCTTTTGCACCTGCTCAAAGCCCACCACCTCGGATGCCTCCGACAGCCAGCCTGGGTGGCCCCACCTAGCGCTGGCCTTCTTTCTTCCTCCCTCCCCCAAGAACTGAGAGGCAGGAGACGAGGAATCAGCCAATAGGCACAGCTGTCCTGTTACACACTTCCACTTCCACAGGGTCCCTGTCATGTCGCCACGTGCCCACTTCTGTGGGGATGACAATGACTTTCCCCTTGTGGGATGGGACGTCTCTGCCATGAGTCCTGCACTCTTCACGTCCCTAGCAGTAACTGGACTCTGCCTCACTGGTATGTTGGGAAGCTTGGAAGAGGGAACTTGAGGAAAGCAGTGCAGTTTCTGGCCCATGGTTAGTATCTGACTTTCAGACAACCAGTTTAAACCCTCCCACAGCCTGGTCTAAGCACCGTCCCTATGTGTGCAGCGCTGCTCAGATGAGGGCTCACAGCAGGAGCACAGTGGCGCTGAGCAGCTTTACCGCCAGTGGGTTCACCCCAGCAGGGAGCAGAAAGTCTCTCTAGAGCTCCTCAGGCCATTCTAACATGAAGTCAGGGCTGAGAAAGGCGGGCTCAGGCCAGTGATCCTCAAAGATTCTGCTCATGGATTTATTCACTTTCAAGTTTAATCCAAACCCTGATAGCCACGGTTTAGATGACAGAGGGTAAACTGTCACAGGCCCCTACCGAGGTGCAGTGGGGACAGGCTGACAGGGGTGGGGGAAGGAGTCTGCATAGGGTGCGTCAAGTCACCAAAAGTCCTGACTGGAACTGGAGCTGCAATTTGGCCATGGGAGGACCCATCAGAAAGAGACCTCTTGCCCAGTGGACCACGTGGTTCTGGACAGTCAGCCTCCGCTGTCACCATGCCCTGTGAGGCCGGCCCTGGTCACCTCCCTAGAGGTGCACCTGTTCCGGTCACAGACGCCTCTCTCCACCTGGGGGCTGTGCCCTGGTGCCACCCCAGTGGCTGGTCCCCAGAACCCTCTGTGAGTTCAGCAATTCCATGAGCCACTTGTGGTGCTTTTAAATGGCTTTGACAAGACAGAGGTGGCATCTCACGGATGGATGGCTTTAATGATAACCAAATTTCACAAAGGAGAAACTGCCTTTGCCCCTTAAATGATATATTTAGGTAGTGCTTTTCTCCATGGTTTACTAAGCCTCACCACAGTAACTCTCAGGGCAGGCAAAATAGTTACGAGAAATAACTGTAACTAGTTACTCAGACTCTGGAATACCCAGCAATTAATAAAAAGCGTGTCTCAGGCAATTCTGTTCTATTAATGTGAAATCACAGGAATGGGACTCCAATCCCAAAATCTCAAGACTGTGTTACCATAATCAAAACCAGGGGGACAGACTGCTGTATCTACTTGAAGGGTGACCTGGAAATAAGCTCATTACCAAAGAGGAAAGGATCTCGTTAGCCTACGTGGGCATCTGTTAGTGACTGACGGTGGTATCCACACTTCAGTCTGTACGCGTACACACCATTTACAGTGGGATCCACTGTAACCGAGCAAACATGGGAGAAGGGTTTTCATCTGGGGAACGCCTGCTCACTCGGGCTGAAGAGTACAGGACTCACCTGGGCTGGGCCTCCCCACACTTACCCCGTCCTCGCAGGTGGCAAGCCCCAGCAGTGAAGAAATGCTGCTCTGCGACAGCTGCAATGCAATGAGATGGAGGGTCACCACCCACCGAGGTGGGAAGGCCTTGCTGTGGTCTGAATGTGCGCCCCTCCAAAGCTCATGTGGAAGCCTGACCCCCAGCGTGGCAATGTTGAGACGTGGGACCTTTGGAAGGTGATTGAATCATGAGGGCTATGCCCCATGAATGGATTAATGGATGGGTGGGCTGTCACAGGAGGGGCACTCATGGCTTTATAAGGAGATCCCCTTGCCATGGGATGCCCTGAGCCACCTTGAGACTCTACCGAGAGTCCCCACCAGGAAGAAGGCCCTCACCAGATGTGTCTCCTCAATCTTGGACTTCCCAGCCTTCGAAACTGGAGGAAATAAACTTTTCTTTATAAATTGACCAGTTTCGGGTATTCTGTTATAAGCAGCAGAAAACTAATACAGTAGTCATGCTAAAATCTCCCATCTCCTAAAAATTAACACGTCACGTCTATATTGCCTGTCTTCTCTTCAGAGCTTCAGTCTCACAGCCTTAAGTCAAACATGACTGCTAAGTCACAACAGGGAGACACCGTGTGGGTGGAGGGCGGGCCCCTCCCCCTGTCCCTGCAAAGCTCCTAGGGGCTGGAAGAGCTGCTCACGCAACTCTGTGCGGATGCAGGGGTGAGCGGGGCTCCGGGCGCCGGCTCCTACCTTGACTTTCACTCTGCACTGGGGTCTCGAGGGGCAGTCCAGGAACACCTGCAGGTGCCTCTTGAGGACAGGAGCCGTGACCACCCGGGAGCAGTCCCCACAGTAAAAGGTACCTCTGTTGTGTGAACATGCATAAGGAAGACCAGACCAGAGTAGACAAGTCAGAAAGTTCTAGCAGCAGACAAACATCTTTCTAAACACGAATGTGTGCTGAGAGAGAAAAGGGGGTTTTGCTCTCAGAATCAAGTTCCTGAGATAGGCCCATGCTCAGCCTGTTCTGAGGGATGAGCATCGGCTTCAGGTACAGGCGGCTGGAAGCTGTTGAGGGGACACTCACACAGAGAAGCACCATGTACGTGGAGCACAGAGGCGGACGGCAAACCTCCCGGGAAGCAGTGCCAAGGCCCCTGGGAGGCCACGCTCCCCCCACGCCTGAAGGGAACGCCTCCTCCCGCGCCCGGCACCTATGCTCCTACAGCCACCCTGTACACCCATCTCCCTGCTCCCGTCTCTTCAACGCGATCCAGCGATGACTTGTGTATGTGCAAGGCCACCAAACCAGGAGGCGTCAAGGAAACGTTTGCTTTTTGCTTCTTAAGCAGCAGAGAAGTAATGAGCACACCCCTTTCTGTCTGTCACAGGACAAAGTCCACTTGAGAGGACAGAAAACTGACTCTAAAGGGACGAACTGCAGTCCTGCCCAGCCCAGTGGCGGTGGGGACTGTGTCAGCTCAATGGTCTCCAAAAGGCCCACAGCTCCGCTAAGGACACGCTGCACAGGCGCGCTGAGTCTGTCCTGCTCAGTCACGTCTGTCCTCCTTCATTCTCGAAGCTGGAAATAAAGGAGCTGAGGACAAAACCCAGCTCTTTTATCTTTTAGGAAGAGGAGGAGACACAAGGCGCTGCAGAAATCCCTGTTAGGAAAACGCAGAAGGCTCCACCGGCCTCTTCCTGCCCCTCCGCAGACCCCAGGCTGCCCTCGGAGCTCTCCGGGAAGCTGGCCCAGGCGGTGAGGCCACGGCCCCGGCCTGGGGGGTTGCCTGCCCTTTGGCCCCGGCTGTTTTCAGGCCAGCCCCTTCCCCCTTACCTGTCTTCTGGCCTCTGTTCCAATCTCCCACTGCCACACTGGTCACACACAGGCCACGAGAAAGCAGTGCTCTCGTCCACACCAACCACAGCACCTGGACCCAAGGAGAAGGGAAGCCAGACTCTTAGAGGCCCCTCTCGGCCTCTCAGTGCACAGACACACACGAGGGGCCTTGGATTTTTTTCTCACTTGTGAGTTTATATAAATGTCTCCAAGGTTTTTATAATATCCATTTTTTGCACAAAGTTATAATGAAAAGAAAGTTCTGAAACTTGCCTACAATATTACCACCTAACCAGTATTTTCATTTCTCCTCGCCAGTCTTTTTCCAGATGCAGGCACATGTCACTTATTACGGGCAAGCCATCCGTGGGGGGCCTCATTCTACTGTCGAGGTTGCTGTGCACTGCTGTGAGGACTGTGCTATCGATCCGATCGCCATGCCAGTCAGGTGATGTGCACGGTCCCCATGTTGGATATCTGGGTCTCCAAATTACGTCAGCACCGTGGCGGTGAATATGACTGTACACAGGCGTTTTCTGTACTGAGACCCTTCCTTAGGATAGACTCTTGGAAATAGAACTACTGTGTCAAAGAGTAGGAGTGCTAGAGACACAGAAAAACCTGTTCCGAAAGTGCTTCCCAAGAGAACTCTCCGGTCACACTGCCACCCTTCACTGACTGCCAGTCTCCNCTGTGTCAAAGAGTAGGAGTGCTAGAGACACAGAAAAACCTGTTCCGAAAGTGCTTCCCAAGAGAACTCTCCGGTCACACTGCCACCCTTCACTGACTGCCAGTCTCCACACCGCATGCTCACCTCATCCTAAGAATCTGCCTCCATGACAAGCATAACGGAATTGCTCCTTTCTCACTTCTTTCATAAAGGAAGATAAATACTCATATTGGTTTGTTAATATCTTCTCTTATGTGATTTCTCTGGTTTCCTCGTATAACTTCGTATAATGTATGCTATACGAAGTTATTACGCAATCTAGCAACACTTCCGGTCAAAGGATTTCCTGGTACTTGGCCCCGAACTTCCCTCCTTACTAGGCTCCCATTTCTTCTCAGCGCCCCTTCTGTGCTGTAGTGTCCCCGCGTTTCTGCACCAGGCGAGAGCACGTGGCTCTGCAGTGCGGGCGCCCCGCCCTCGCTGGGCCTCTAGGGTCAAACCGCAAAGCATCTGCGGTTGGGGGTGGGGCTGAAAACAAAGAAAGGCTCAAAAGCATTTGGATCAAAGACATCCCTGACCTTCTGGGAGACTGAACCCCCAGAAGGTGACGCCACCCGCGGAGGAATACCGCAGGCAGCCCGCACCCCCTGCTCTGTGCAAGCACGTGACAAATCACAACAGTTGTGTCCGGTGTGTATTAATTCACCCTTTCACCGTTAACGTGTCACGGCCCAGGAGACTGAGGCTGGAAAGGCCGCAGTGTGGCTCCTCAGTGTCCCTCCCCTGACAGGCGGGCGGGCGTCTCACTGCCCCCGCCCTGCACCTCGGGTGGCCTCAGTGACTCGCTTCTCATGAATACAGTGCATAGTGGAAAGGACACCGAGTGACATCCCACACTCAGTTAGGAAAAGTGAGACGCCCCCTCCGGGGCTGCCTGAGGCTCAGGGAAGGCTTCCTACAGAAGGAGTGTGCGGGCTGGGGATTGGGCTGGACTGGCCGATGAGGCTCAGGGAAGGCTTCCTACAGAAGGAGTGTGCGGGCTGGGGATTGGGCTGGACTGGCCCTGCACACCCCGAGGAAAGACAGAAGACACAGCTGTGAGGCTGTCAGAACCACGACTGCTCTGGGTCATGCTGGGGACTGAGATGGTATGGTTTCCTGGGACGTGAAACATCACAGAAGTCCTCTAGACACACTGGCAAGCTGCAGACCATTCCTGCCGAGAAGTGGTAAAATTAGATGTTCGAAGAAAAAGTAAGATGTGACCCGAGTTTCCAGAAAAGCAGACGAGTCTTCTTACCACTCTTAGAGCAAAATAACTCATTCCCCACTAGAACAAACATTAGGAGAAACTTTACCTGTAGACAAAACAGAATTATAAGAACTAGTAGGCTTGGTTAATTAAAATGCATTTATGCAAAGCTTACTCGAATGACTTTTTAAAAGATGAAAATTATAGATCTTGATTTTGAAAAGGCTGCCCCTTGCAAATCTAATCGAAAGTGAGTCAAAGAGAAAACTGAAGTCAACAAAGGCTTATCATGCAGCCAGAAAGGAGCGTGGGCCAACTTGCACCAGGCAGACATGTGAGGACCCACAAGGGGAAATGAGCCAACACCAGCCGTGTCCTGCCCTGGCCGCGTGCCAACCCTGAGCTCGCGTTTACTGCGCGTGGCAAATGCTGCATGAATTAATAAAAAGTAGTCGGCTACCAACCAAAGTTCCCCTGGGATATCCGTGGGTGTTAATGGCATTTACATTTATAAGAGATTAAGCAATTTCCTTCCAATTTGAGAACAAGGCAGGAGTTGAGGAAATGTATTTCATACGAGGTCTACAAACCATTGGAAACCCTTTCCGACAACCCTAAATGAACATCAAGGGATAACTGGGAAGTGTGCCATTAACTGTGTCTAAAACACTCACTTAAATGAATCCAAGAAAGAAAAAAACAATTTTCATCAGGGTTAAGGATTGTTACACCATACTCTCAGCTTGCCTGCGGTTTGCTGTTAAAAGCCTTTACTTTGCTAGTTTTATGTACAGAAATCTCTTGTAATTAGGTTTGGGAAAGGTATACCACTTAATTATTAAAACAGCTTTTTTAAAAGGTTCTTTCAGGAGAGAACAGAACTGAGGCCACCAGAGGTGGGAGGGGGAAGGGAGAGAGGGATTAGCAAGAAACTGGTAAAGGGCCACAAAAACGGATTGCATCGTATAATGTTGAATATACTACCTATCCTGATTTGAGCATCACCTATTGCACATGGGTATTGATATTCAATGCTATACCCCAGAGATATGTACAATCACTTATGTTTCAATTTAAAAACTTAAAAATGAAAAGGTTCTCTCAAAGGGTCCTAAGGGAAATGCCTCAGTCACAGAGGCGATCAGCACAAGCCCAGTGTACAAATTTCTTCACCAGGTTTGAACTTTCTGCTAGGCCCTGCTCCCCCACTGATTTCCTGACTGAAAGCAGTCGGGGCTCACATTTTTTCCTTCTATTTATCAACATTGTTTGAAGACAGGACTTCGCTACCCCTTCCCATAAAGACCTGATGCATCCGTTTCCCTTGGTGGTGTACCAGGTCCCATCCGCTGGCCAGCCACAGGTAAAGAAGTAGTAAGCAGAACGAGGGAGAGAAAATCAGGGCTATCAAACGATTTCACCCAGAAAATAAACCAGAAAGAAGTCCCTGCATACTCTGGGAGCTGACTGTGAAGGAGGAGCTAGCACTATCCCCTCTGAGGTGGACAGACAGATGCCACCAGCTCCCAGTGAGTGACTGACTTGCACGTCGTGTTTGGAACTTGTTCAGGGTCCTTTCAGGACCTACTCAAAGAAAATACTTAATATTCAGCTGTCTGTGACCCAGCCACTCACCTGACTCAGTGGCCATTGAGAACTGCCCAGTCCCCAGCACTGACGTGCTGTGGATGTGAAGGAGCTCCCTTGGAGCCCTGCTGGGCATAAGTCACCACTGAGACCTTCTGGGCCAGAGTAGGCAGAGCAGGGCAAGGCTGAGGGGCTGAGAAGGGGGCACCTGCCATGGTCACAGAGTAGTGAGGCCTCCAGCCTCAGGTGGACTCGATGGAGTTGGCACTAGGCGGGCTTGCAGCTAGCTGGTGCACATGGCAAATGCACCTTGGTGGCACTGGCCACCACGTAGCTGCAGCCTTGCTGTGAATGCTCCTGCCTAGGAGGCTCAGCCAATCTTTGCTATTTTGCAGCTGGGTTTTTTTCCTCTTAGTGCCCAACTGACTGGTTCGCACCAGAGAATCTGGTAGTATTCAGCTCTGCCTCTGTTTACACATCCCACAGACTCACCCACAGGTCTGCAGGGCAGCTTCAGAGCAAGTCTGGATGCAGATGAGACCCATGGGGAATGCTACATAAAAATGGCCCAGAAGAAAATGGTATTGTCAGAAACTTGGATCTACATAAAGAAAAGAAGAGCATTAGAAATAAAAGAGGGTAAAATGAAATTGTTACATTTCTTTTTCTGAATTTATCTAAAAGATAATAGTTTGTTTAAATAATAATAACAACCACGTATTTAGTGGTCATAGCTTATGGTAAGTGAAATGAATGCTAGCAGTGTTGCCAGGGAGGGGAGAAGAATGGGGAACACTCTGTTATGAGATAATTGCAGTACCTGTGAAGCAGAACAGTGTTATTTGAGAGTGGACTTGGTTGTAAATGTATATTACAAACTCTAGGGATACCACTAGAAAAAAACTTAAAAATAAGTATAAATGACATTCTAAGAGAAAAGAGAAAATGGAATCATAAAATGCTCAATTAATATGAGAAAGAGCAGAAAGAGTGGAAGACAAAAAAAGAAACAGGGACAACAAATAGAAAACAGTGATAAACATGGTTGATATTAATTCAATTATGCCAATAACCACTTGAAATGTGAATTGTTTCAATAGACAAATTAAAAGACAGAGAACTATCACAGTGAACAAAAACTAAGGACCAATTACATGTTGTCTACAAGAAACCCCCATTAAATATAAAGACACAGATAGATTAAAGGTAGAAGGAGAGAGAAAGATATACCATGCTAACACTAACAAGAGAAAGCTCGGCTAGCTATTTTAATTGTAGACAGAACAGACTTCAGAGCATGGAAAATTACTGAGAATAAAAAAGGGAAATAAGTAATGATAAAGGGGTCAATTCACTAGGAAGACATAATAATCCTTAATGTGCATGCACCTATCAATGGAGTATCAAAATATACAAGGCAAACTGATAGAATTTTGAGGAGAGATAAACAAATTCACTATTATAGTTAGAGATTTCAACACCCCTCTATCAGTGATTGATAGGAAGAGTAGGCAGAAAAATGGCAAGGATAGTGTTCAACTGACAGCACCATCACTCAACAGGATTTAACTGACAGTGTTGA